TAGTAGCTGGGCACAGTGACATGTGCCTATCATCATCTCAAGCTATTTGGGAAACTAAGATTAGGAGGATTACAGCCCACAGACCCCACCTCAACAGCAGAAAAAAAGTTTGCAAGACCCCATCTCAACAGCAAAAGCTGGGTATGGTGTATGTGCTTATCATCTCAGGAAGCACAAATAAGGAGGATCATGATGAGTTCCTGGCCTGAACTCAAACCCCAGTAACTGTCAAAGAAAAGTATGTATATAAAAAAATCAATTCTTTCATTTAAGACAACTGTTAATATTTTGCTATATTTCCTTCTAGTTTTTTCAAGATACATATTTAAAATTATTTCATCATACTTGAGATTAAGTTTTATATACATCTTTTTACACAGGATTATTTTTAGGATCATATAATAAACACCTCCCTAAATTATTAAATAATTTATGTTAGTTTTTACTTTACATAGGGTCTTAATTAGTGACATATCATATTACATATACATAATCTAATTTGGAATTTTTCATGTAGATTTTATTACCTATTTTGGGAAGATTAAGATTTTGTCAATGCAGCCATTGTTATTTAAAAAAAGGACAACTGAACTTCACTTTTTAAAATAGTTTTCAGAATCAAAATTTCAAATCAGTGGTTATTCTTTTTTTAAGAAAAAAAAGCCTGAAAAAATATTCTTGGTATGATATTCAGAACTATGTAAAATATTTGAAAGGCACATTGATAAGTCATTGAAGTTACATATTCTAGCAATTCACTACCAGTTGGTTATTCTTGCTCTTGTTATGTCATCTTTAGTGATCATGTTGTCATTTGAACCCTTTGGGTCTGAATTTTTCCATTTAGAAAATGAGAGTGAGCTAGATAACTTCTAAATCTTCTTTGGCATTTCCATTTTTATTTGTCTTAAAGTTACATCTTATTTTCTATATTATGTTTACATGCTAGTAGGTTATTGCTTTCCTTGATCCTTTTATTCAGCTCTCCACCAATATATTTTAATGGACTTGAGTTTTTAGCATCACAAGAAAATTAAGTAGAAAGTAGAGTTTCCATATACCTCCTCCCCCACTATCAAGATTCCACAACAAGTTGGGTGCCAGTGGCTCATGCCTGCAGTCCTAGCTACTTGGGAGGCTGAGATGGGGAGCATCACAGTTTGAAGCCAGTCCAGGCAAATAGTTTGTGAAACCCCATCTCCAAAACAACCAGAGCAAAATGGACTGAAGGTGTGGTTCAAGTGGTGGTAGAGCACCTGCTTTGGAAGTACGAAACCCTGAGCTCAAACCCCAGTCCCACCAAAAAACAAACACCCCCCCACAAAACAATTCCACAGCAGAGTATTGTATTTGTTACAATCGATGAGCTTGAATTGACACATCATTATCACCCAAAGTCAGTAGTTTACATTAAAGTTTACTGTATGTGTTGTGCGTTCCATGGGTTTTGAGTTTTGACAAATATATAGTGACACATATCACTGTTACAGTATCATACAAAATAGTTTCACTGCCATAAAAGTCATCTTTGCTCTGCCCATTCATCCTTTTCTCTTCTGAGCCACAGATCTCTTTTTGGGGGGGGCGTATTTAAAATATATTTTAATGAAATCAACTTTAAATACAAATGATTTTTTTTCCATGTCTAACATTTCTTTTTTTTTTTTATTGTTTTATTATTCATATGTGCATACAAGGCTTGGGTCATTTCTCCCCCCTGCCCAAAATACAAATGATTTTCTTATAGAGGGAGTGAATTTGTTCAAAGTACACTGTACATATCTATGCAGTTATCACAGTGAAATCCCTTTGTACTACTAGTGTATGCTAATAAAAAGGATTTCATTTCTTAATATGAAGCTGCTGTGACATCAGTAGTTTTCTTCCTGCTCCATGGGCTTTAGCTAACACTGTTTTACTAATTCCCCAGTGCTCTTGACATATTCTCTTCTGTTGAAAGTCCTTGTGGCAGCAGTTAGGGGCTTGATTCTTACCAAGTGTTTAGAGTTCACTTGAAAGGAATTCACTGAAGAGATATTCTTGTGAACTTGAGGGGAATGTGCTTGTAATCCAAGCATCTTTACTATATCTTTTTCCCAATATGGAGGTCTTTCTGCACTTTTTATTCTGGTAATGGTGGGCAGTTTATGAGAGTTCTGTGGATCACCACCATATTTTTCATGATCTGCAGGTTGAAGGCCTATCTGGAGTTCTTGATTTGGTAAATTTGTGATGAATTCAATCTGTAAAAGGAGAGACTGCACCTTTTGTCATTGTCTGTAGTCTACCTGGTGGCCTTTGAACCACTGCGCACAAAATCCCTTCCATAAGTGTAGTAATTGATCTCTTTGGAGGTAGTGCCAGCTAAGTGTCCATCCTCAACTGCCACTGATATTTCTGCTGTCTCCATAGTGTTGCCTTTTCTAGAATGTCATACGTTGAGATCATACAGCATGTGATCTTTTCAGATTGACTTTTTCCACTTTACATTATGTACTTAAAGTTTCTTTTGATGGTTTTAGCTCATTTCTTTTTAGCACTGAATAATGTTCCATTATTTGGGTGACCACTATTTATTCACCTGTTAAAGGACATCTTTGTTACTCCCAAGTTTTAGCACTTATGGATAAAGCTGCTATAAATGTGTGTGTGCAGGTTTTGTGTGTACATGCGTTTTTAACTAATTTGGATAAACCTTTAGTATATTTTTTCATTTGATGGTCTTTAAAATTCTTTTAAATAAACTGAGAAAAATTGGGAGAATGATTATTCTCAAAACTTGAATCAATAAATATTGTACATAAGAAGTCTTTTATATTGCAAGAAGGTTTGGAAAATGTAGGTATGCTTTATAATTAAAGGGTAAACGTTTCTGACTTTTTCCCCTGGGCACAGATTTAAATCTGATATCGATGAGCAACTTAGTCTTATACTTAAATGACTTCTTTCTTGATCTTGAAAGAAAGAATGAGACATTATAATGTTAGTGCTACTGTGTTGATCTGCAAATGATGTAATGTGGATACTTGCCCATTAGATACTGGACTTTTATAAGTGACATTAAGTGAATGTAAAATGAAACAATTTTGGACTGTATTCCAACTATTGGCTGGTGATGAAAGATGATTCATCAGATGCCAGCCCTCTTTGCCTCTTATTTTTATTTTCCACATTTTGCCCTTCTTTCTTTTTTTGTAGGATGTAATAAAATAAATTAGAGCAGTGTATAAACTAGAAGCATGATATAAATTATAAGATCTGTTTTTCATCACCTCTACTTTTTTAGTACTTCATTTTTTTTAAATGGTTCATTTCCCTGCAACTAAAATATGTATTTTATATTAAATGTTTCATTGAACAGTTTTAATTTAACATTATATCTGTATTCTGGGCCTGCCTATTTATTTAAGCCATGCTTCAAGAGAATCTAAAGAATTTGATGATTCTTTGGTTGAACATTGATATTTAAGAAAATTTAGTTTCACCTCTAAAATTACCATTTTAAAACTATGTAACTCATCATGATTAATGATACATGTAAGCACTGTTGATATTTTTTCAGTGTTCTCTGTAACCCAAATAAACTTTTCAGCATCCTTATGTGGTGCTAATTACCAATAGAAAAATGTCTTTCTGGGCTGGGCATGGGGGGTAGGCGCATACCTATAATTGCAATCCCAGCAACTCAGGAGGTAGAAGTAGGAGGATCATGGTCTGAAGCTGGCCTGGGCAAAAGCACAAGACCCTACCTGAAAACCAAACTAAAGTAAAAAAAACTGGAGGCATGGCTCAAGTGGTGGAGCATGAAGCAGACAGAGTTCAAAACTCACCACTGCTCCCCCTTTCTTCCCCGAAGGAAAGAAAAAAAGAACATACACCTATAATCCCAGGACTCAGAAAGCAGAGGATTAAAAATTCAAAACCAGTATGGGATACATAGTGAGAGCCTGTCTCAAAAAAAAAAAAAATCTGTCAAAACATTCTTTATTTAAAGTTTTTATTAATTTTTTGGAAATTGTTTAAATATTTCAATAGAATTCATTTAATAGAAAGATTTAAAATTTTACAGAGTGCCATCAGAACCCAAATTTGTAAACTATAAAGATTGTAGGTATCCTCATAAAATTCTAGGGTTTGCTATTTTTGTATATAGCACAATTCTAGAAGGTAATATATAAAGAGTGGATCATTATTAAGTAGGCAAACACGATTTTTCACATTGACTTTACTATTACAGAAATCTTTTAGTCAAATTATTTTTTTAGTATAGGAATCTTTGAAGAGGCCAACCTTAATTTTAAATAACTTTACATTATTTCTATTGGTCTTTTTAACAGTTCTCTGAAATAGGGAAATTGAATGTCTTCTGGCCCATTTTATAGATGATGGGTGAAGTGATTTGTCCAGGGTCACATTGAGGTAAATTTCAGAATTGGGATTAGAATGGACCCTCTAGCTCGTTTAATGCTTCTTTTATCTGTGTTAGGTTAACAAACAGCTTTTCACAATATTTCACCGTAGTCAATGTTACCATTTTGTTCTATTGTCTGTTACTACCAAAAGAAGATAAATCATGTGACTTTTTTTTTTTAACTTTTTTTGAGAGAGGGTCTTGCTACGTAGTCCAGGTTGGCCTCAAACTCTTGATCCTCTACCTCAGCCTTTGGAGTGTTGGGATTGTAAGTATGCACCACCATGTCCTCTTTACAATTTAACTATTTAGTATGACTTCAAAGTAATGTGACAAGAAGACTTTGTGGGAACTGGAAGTGGGAGTGATCATATACTTAATTTTTAATGACCTAGTCTTAATGAAGAAGCATGTATTTACCCATAAATAAACTATAGCTCCACTTTAATCTTTTAGCCAGTAAAAACACTGAATAAATGTAACAAGACAAGCTAATGAGAGGTGCAGGGATAAAATGTTAGATTTTGTCGTGTGGTCCTCATGTGCACTATTACAATCTATAAGGATTCTTGTGTACTTTCTCTTACAGATACTGAAAATTTCTTCTAAGGAAAAATATCCCTTGTTTACTTTTGTAAATGGCCATTCCAGAGACTATGATTTTACATCTACTGCATCCAATGAAGAAGACCTTTTCTCAGAGGATGAAAAGAAAAGATTAAAAAGATTTAGCACAGAAGAATTTGTCTTACTTTAAAAACTAACACATTTGTGCTTGTTGAGAACTCATTTGAATGGGAAAAAAATGAAGAGAAACAAGTACACTCAAAACTGTTTATTTTTTACAAATATCTTAATTTTATATGTTCTTTTAAAAGAGAACATTTGAAAATACAAAAGTTTAAAGATATTTTTCTGAAAGAGAAATGATTTGATGAATCTTGCTTTCTAATAAATGTCGAGTGATTCTGGCTGCATTCCTCTTTTGGTAAGATTTGCTAATGAAACACTACCTTAACTGTAAGCCTTTTAGTCTTCAGAGTCTTCCACCTGAGTCCATTGGCCTCCTGGAGGTTTTTGGTTGGCCTCCTCAAAGACTATGATGACTAACCTAGTTCAAAAGCCTGTTTGTGACCAGGAGACCAGTGAGTGAGTCATCAGTGCTACATAGCCTCCTGCTTTTGATGTAGCCAGGGGATACACTTTTGATTTGTGCATCTTGGTAATTAAATAGGATTTGTGCATCTTGGTAATTAAATAGGATTTGTTACTTGTGATGTGCATATAATTCTATAAATGGAATTTTGAGTTAAGGTAGTACTTAGCAATAATATAATTTTATAATGGCTGCTCTTATGCTTGCTATTGAGCCTTCTATGAGGAGTGAGTATAAGTATTGGTTTTCTTCATATATTTAAAGGTTATATTATTAATAGCAACTGCCCATTCAAATTGGGTTAAGGAAATTTTAAAACAGTAGTAGTGTTTGCTTCCTATCTCAGAATGAAATTTTGTGGGAATTCAACTTATATAGATTCTAAATCTAATGATAAATACCAAGAAAGACATCAGTAAATATTCTTCCCTTTGATTTTTGCTATTTGTATAAAGCAGTGCAGTGGTGTTTGGGAGTTGAGACCATTCACAAGGTAAATCGCCTTATGTGTATTTTGTGTTACTTAAAGGCAAATTTGTGATATAAAAATACAAGAGTTATAAAGCCAGGATTATAAAATGAATAATAAAGATATGAGAACATTTATGCCTTTGTTTTGGTTTTAATGTTGGAATTATTTTAATCCTTTCATTTGAAAAGTCGTTATCTCCAATGAATTCTGTTTATTTATAATGAAAACAAATAGTATTGTTGCTTTAAAACAAAATACTAACTTATTTTATGGACCCCCTGTGTTTCATTGTGGAAAGGTGACTTATTATAAAGACATAAAATCTTGTATCATCTAAAGTCATTGATCTCTTCCATCAGAAAACCCTATTTATTTAAAGCTGAAACAGAGGTGGGCAGACTGCTTTAGTATGCTTGATGAGAGAGATCAGGTTTGACATTTCCCAGTAAGGATGGTTTATTGGATTGAAATAGTCTAAAATCTAAATTTTCCCTTACTTAGATAAAATATGGACAGATTAAGTCCAATACTAATTTTCCTAGAATGCCAGAGCTGTGTAGGAAGAAGAAGCCAGTGTGCACGGATTTTATGTGCTGCAGTCATCTCATCTGTGCTATTGTGTTTTACTGTGGATATGCAGGATCAGATTTGAAGTAAACACATCAAAATGAGAGCACTTGTACCTTCAAATGGATCAGAAATTTATAATGGATCATTATAAATTTTTGCTTATAAGAACTAGATAAAAGCTCAGTGTTTCAGAATAGCCTTGTTGTTTTCTCAGCATATATAGGGGTCATTTTTAAGTAGACTTTGGAATGAGACAAAATTGCACCTGGACAAAGGTAAAGTGAGAGGAGTCAGCAACTTTCTTTGCTTTGAATTGTACTGAAAATGTTGTACTCAGATGATTGTACAAACAAAACAAGTAAATTTTACAATACAATCATCCACATCATTGGGAATAAATGTTTAAAACCAATTTATTAGCATAACAGTATATATATATATATATATATATATATAAATATTCAGTGATATATGTGTGTGAGTGAATGCATGAATGAAAATTGAGAGAGGCCAATGCATTTATCTTGCTTACTTACTAATTTGACTTCATCTGAGGACTAGACAAAACTTAGGCTAATTTTTATTGGGAAGGCTGCAACAAAACCAGATCATTAGGTTTGGAACAGAAGTACTATATATCCTAGTTTCACACTTTGTTTTGAATACAGATTTCATTTCAAGTTCAAAGAGCCAGTAAGTTTAGTAAGTAAACTTACTCAACCTGGAATAAAGAAACATCAAAAAGGATGAGGTTCTGGTGTCCTGTTAGAATCATGGTGGGGGTGGGTCTTCCATTTAGATATCAATATTAAGATACTGGATTTTACCATTAACATTTCAGAAATGAACTTTTAAAATTCTTGATGGGATTTTTTGATACTGAAGGTTTCTTTTGTCTCTTCTTCATTAGATTTGACACTTTGAATCTCTTTTTGTCAGTATACTAATCACTGTCAGGCAGGTTGGAAAGTCATCATTTGCTGAATGCGTGAATGAAAAGATTCTTTATAATATAACTATGTATAAAAATTTCCCTGAGGTATTCATTTTTCTGTTTTTACATTAAGCCAGCTCTCACTAAGTCTGTATTAGTGAGAAGATAACTTCAGAGGATTAAAAATTTAGTTCACTTTTGTGTTCTCTTAACCTTAGGTCTAACATTGTCCAATGGCAAACATAAATGTATATGTTGATTCCAACTTGGTTTAGAGGAATTAAAGTAAAAAAAAGAGCAAAATAACTTATTTGTATAATCTATCCAATTTAGAAACCTATTGTTTTCCATGCCAGAAAACACTAACCCAGTTAAGTCCCACTAACCCAGTTTTTCTCTTTTTCTCTAATTTCCTTCTACTAGGGAGAAGTTTCATTTTCATGGTTTAGCACACATCACCTTCAGTAGCTTCCATTTGACATCTAAGTAATATTGACTACATATTCTGTGAATATTTTCCCCAAACAGGAAACAAGAGGAAGGGCAGATCATGAAGAAATAATTTGTAAATATTATATCACTAAATATTGTTATTACAACAGATAAAAGATGAGAATGAAACTGATAATTTGTAGAATATGTTATAGAAGCAATTTCTTGGAAAGAAAAGGAATTATTATTGTCTGTAAAAAGAAGAGCAAATGTCTTCCAAAATTAGAATAAGTATTTATGATATATCTTCTATAGCTTCAGTGTTATTGTTGATCAGTCACAACTCAGTGAATGCTATTCACTTGCGCATTTATACTGGATAGTCTAGGGTGAAACCTCAGACCAGGTAAAATGGGAAGCATCCTATTGATTCTAAAATATAAATTTTATATCATTTTATGTTTCAAATCTTAAGTCAGTTTCAAAATCTTAAGCCTTTTTGTGTGGCTTTCATAGTTATTTAAAGGCTTTCTCCTTGCCTATAAACTTTGAAAAATATTATATTTAGAGTTGGTATTGCAGACACATTTTTTGAGTTAGCATTTCCTTCTCTCTTTTTTACAGTCTTCCTTGACATTATTGGTGGCAAGCAATGGCCCAAAACGTTCACAACTACAGTTATAAAATTCTGCTTATTCTCTCATGATGATAAGAAAAATATGTTAAATATGCAAAATACATATTTGTTATTAGATAGAAAAATTACTTTTTTACTGTGCTACCCTTTAACCATTCCTCCAGAAATTTAGAAACTCAGTCTTCCAAGATTGTCATCTATGCGTAATAAAGGAAGTGTTTTATAAAGAACTATCTTTCATTTAAACTATTAAAAATTAAGTGAATCATAAATATAAACATTTTATACTAAGATAGCATAAATTAATAAAAGTTGAGAAAAGCATGGTTTTTAAAAATTGTAAACAGGAAAAAGAAAGGAAATAGAAGTCTAAAAACAAAAGAAAGAATTATTGACAGTAAGTTTTGAATGTCTAGGCAAATACACTGATACAGATAAAAACATATGAGTTAAAAGGGCTTGCAGATTAAGATGGTTTTAAATTGGATGTGGGCATGGAAGGAAATAAATACAGACTGAGTACAGACAGTGGGTTGGGGCTGCTGTGGTATGTAGCTCCAGGAGGCACAGTTTTAGTGTGTGTTGTGTGAGTGTTATTCCCTGTTGTGCAATGTGCATCTCTTTTGCCAATATTTACATATTGCTTGCTAAATTCAGCACTGCTCTGATCAGTTTGCTTGCATTAAAATATAGCTAATGAATTTAAGATTCAGAGATTAGATCTAGGATTAACAGGATAATTAATATGAGTCCTGGGATTTGGATGATTACATAATGATTCAGGTCAGGAAGTCTAATTAGAACAGAGGGTTTTAATGGAGAGATACACATTTAAAGTATTTCTTAAGTATTTTAAATATACACCATAGGAAAAACTCCACCCATACCTTTTCTGCTCCAATGTGTTACTTTCATTTTTCTATAGTCCCTTCTATTTTAGATTCATGTTCACATTTCTAAACAGCTTCGGTAGGTTGAATGTGGCTTTCTCCTTGTTTAACCATGTTCTATTTGATGGAGCGGGCAAACACTTATTCACTCATATTTTAATTTACACACCAGCACTATTTTATGCCTCTGGCTTGCATGGTGTTCTTTCCTGTGACTCGTCACTGGTTCCTAGACCAGACCTACTGTGTTCTGCTAGTTTTATGCTGCCACCCATGTCTGTACCTAGAGAGACTCTTATTTTTGTATGTAATTTGTTCCTGTAAACTTTTGAGACAATTGAATGTGAAGGAATTGAACAATATCTGTTTTTAATAAGCTATGTTTTAAGGACGATTCTGCCCCAGGGAATTTTAAATATAAAAATATCAATATCAAAACTATCCAATTATTTTTAATCATAGAGGTTTCATTTTGATGATCTTGATAATATAGTTCTAGCATTTCATGTATATTCTTTACTTTTGTTATTTTGTAGTAGAATATATATTCAACTGATTTAAATTTGACTTCTATTGGAATACATAGCTGAGCATTTCACTGAGGCCAATGACTATTTCTGTCATGCAATAATAATCATGGAACATATGAGACCAACATTCCTTGTCACTAGTTTTATCACTTTCATTTCTCTGTTTATGTGACATGTTTACAAAATAAATGATAATATAAAATCCAATAATTGCATAACCTGCTACTTAAAGTAGTTTAGTGGCATTAGATTATGTATGTCTAATGTTTACCTAGGTCTGAGATCTTTTTTTTTGAGTTTTATTGAGCCAATTGAGTTAGTCAGCATTATGTTACTATAACAAAATACTTGAAATA